AGCCAGGGTGGCCAAACGCGACACAGCTGGCACAGGGATGGGGCTGCCGTGCCAGTAGCTTCAGGACCACCCCAGTATTGCCCAGGGCACCCCACGGAAAGCCCTGGCTCCTTGGGATTGCGTGTTCGTGGCACTGGGAGTCAGGGTGCAGATCTAACACCTGAATTATGAGGGTCCTCCCTGCTCTCTGATGGCTGTGGTAACAACTCTGGGTCAAGGGGCTCGTTCTTCAGAAAACCCCAAGTTCCTTGTGGGTTTCTCAGCAAGTCACATGGACTGATGGTGTTCCCTGGCTTTGCTGCTGCTGAGTGTCCATGTTCTTTCCTTTCTCCTCTGCATTTGGGTTTTGCCCCTTCCTCACCTTGCACTGGGTTCCTCCTCCTTCTCTTCTTCCCAATACCTTTATCTAGGCTCAGTTTGGATTTTCAATCCAGTTCATGGAGGAATCTGAGGATTGGACTGAGTGGGGCTGAAGTGTAGGGAGGGGACAAGTGAATGCTTAAACCCTTCAGCTCCTGGTTTGGTTACCAGTGTGCTTTGCAGCCTTGAGCTCAGTAGATGTTTGGCTGCCTGACCTGGAGCAGGTCTGGTGTGTCTCCTCCCAGGAGGGACACTGAGCTGTCACTGACTCACCTTCCCAGCGGCAGAGGGCTGCTCTGGGTGCTGCGTGTGGGTGTCTGTGTGGTGATGGGTCTGTGTGTGCCAGTCCCACCGCTGACACTCTGAGAGCTGCTGGGGATGCCACTGAGGTGCTCGATGGTATCCCCTGCATGGTGCCGGGGCTGTCACGCAGCCTGGCCTGCCCCGAGCGCTGCCGTCGCTGGTGCCACCGCTACCATTCCCCCACAACCCTTCACTGAGCCTCAGCTGAGGTTTGCAGGGCCCTAATCCCTTTCCCTTGTGTCTCTTTCATCTCCAGTCCGACCGGGAGAGTGGTAATAGACCTTCTCACTAAATTAAATGTACAGGCTGCTCCTCGAGGCGCGGTGCAGTTCAACCGTAGTGTTTGATTTCCCAGCCACAGCAGTATGGTGCCTCCAGGGAAAAAGCCAGCTGGGGAAACTTCCAATTCCAATAAAAAGTGTAAACGCTATTTCAATGAGCACTGGAAGGAAGAATTTACCTGGCTGGAGTTTGACTATGAGAGGAAACTCATGTTTTGCATAGAGTGTCGGCAGGCGCTGGTGAAGAACAAGCACGGTAAAGCGGAGAACGCCTTTACCGTGGGCACAGACAACTTCCAGCGCCACGCGCTGCTGCGGCACGTCACGTCAGGCGCGCACCGCCAGGCGCTGGCTGTGAACCGGGAGCAGTTGGCCTTCGGGACCCACGGCCACCCCGAGCTGCGCTCGGTCATCAAGGTGGAGGTGAACCCAGCGAAGGTGGCTGTCCTCACCACCGTCTACTGGATGGCCAAGGAGGAGATCCCGGAGGAGAAGTGCTCCTCCCTGCTCAACTTCCAGAAGTTCAACCTGTGCCAGGCGCTGCTGGCCTCGGAGCACAGCGAGTACTACCACCCTGGCAGCGTCAGGGAGATGCAGGTGTGTATGCAGGGCTGGGGGTCTGCACTTGTGTGACGGCCACGCGGAGGCTGGACATCGCTGTGTGGCCACCGTGTCCTGCAGGGCAGGGAGAGTGCCTGTCCCAGCAGCCGTGTGGGAGCTCCCTGAGCCTGCCAGGCTGCTTGCAGGATGAAAGCTCAGGAGTTCAATTAGCACATGAGCACTGTGGGTTTTTCTCCTCTTCTGCCCTAAACCGAGTGATCAAAAAGATCAAGTAGCTGGAGAGTTTAGAAAGGATTTTCTGAGTTTTCCCAATGTTTCATGCCTGCTGAAATCAAATTAAATTTTTAGCAAGCCTTGGCTGTTTGCCAGGATTTTCAGCTCTCTGCAGAGTCTTATTTTGCTGCAGATAGACTAAACCCACTAATTAGGTTTCCCAGCCTGTGGTGTTCCTTACAGCACTCACTCACATGCAGGAAGTTCCCTATAAATCAGGGAGTTTGCCTGAAATGGGGGAAAACGAGGAAAGAAGGAAGAGACACTGCAGTTTTGCTGCTGCTCCTGCCCGTGCTGGGCCAGTGAAGCACCGATGGAACTGCTGGAGTTGAACAGAGCAGGCAGGTTCTGGTGTCCTGCCTGTCTGCTGGCACAGGCAGGGGCTCAGGATCAAGGTGTCAGGTCTGGTGTCTCAGCACTGCGGGTGGTGTTGTGTCCTGCTGTAGCTGTGGGGCTCTGACCCCCAGCTCAGGGCAGGGGCCCCCAAGCTCTTAGCAGCTTCGTGCAGTTCAGGCCGCTGGCCAGGAGCAGGAGGAGACAGTTTATTAGGGATAAGGAAAGTCATTTCCAGCCTGTTCGTGTGCAACTTGCATAAGGGCTTTTCCCTGGCTCAGGCCCTTGTGCCGCTGCGGGTGGGAGCCGCTCGCTGTGCGTCTCCCTCTGAACCTCACTTGTGTTTCTCTCTCCCTCCTGCGCCCTCCTTAACTGGCCCAGGCAGCCATCGCCAAGGTCCTGCACAACGAGGACAGGCACAGGATCAAGGCCTCGCCGTTCGTTGGGCTGGTGGTGGATGAGACGGTGGACGTCCTGG